GAAACCCCAAGACACACATCACAGTCCTTTTTGAGAACACTTGCCAAGTTTAGCATCTCTTATCTCTGAGCAAAGAGGACCGTTTGCTCAGAAGCAACCCCCCCAGCCCACCACCAAGGAGAAGGGGGATCCAAGCAGCGGCCTGCCCCAGATTCTCTCTGCCTGGCTTGGTCCAATAAAAACTCATCACCTAACTTGCTCTTCAGCAGCTTAGATAGTCCAGACTAGCCTAAGCTTGTCACAGACTGGAAGCTAAGCTAGGGTTGCCAGGCCCAATCTTCTCCCTGGCCGGGGGGAAAAAAAAGGGGGGATTTTGGGGGCGGGCTGGGAGGGGCCGTTCCCAACGTGATGACAGCTTGCAGGGCAGGCACGCACGGCACCCGCTCTTTTCAAGCCGGGGCGTGGATGACTGTTGGGGGCAGGGCTTCCCCTCGTCGGCCAACTGGACGGCATCTGGGGAGAACCCAAAAAATCAGGGGATCCCCCACCCCCACCTGGGGACTGGCATCCCTAAGCTAAGCAGGGTCAGCCCTGGATAGCAACTGGATGGGCGACCACAAAGGAAGACTGCAGAGGAAGGTAAAGACAAACCACCTCCGCTCCTTGCTTGCCTCGGAAACTCCATTATGGGGTTGCCATAAGTCGGCTGTGACTGGATAGATCGCTTTGCTATTTAGTATGCTCCTTTCCCCTTTCTACGAAGCCAACACAGCTACCAGGGTCCCAGTCAGATTTTTTAACCTTTTCCTTGAGAAACTCACACCCTTCCCTTTTGGCTATCAAACCACAAGCCTTCGCTTTCTGACGTGCCAGGAGATTCAGGGCACAGTTATGGCTTCAGATACGATCTTTCTCCTGGGCTTTGTTTCTGGGCCTTCAACTGCAGTGTTAAAAACGTTCTACAGGTGAAAGCTTTCCCTGTTTATTGTTACATAGACACACACACACACCCATACAGCCGTCATCAGGGATTGGAGCTTTCAGGCAGTTGTTGTGGTTTCAGGTGGGCCTACCTGTACCTAGCGCACAAGAGATGAATGCACCAAGCATATGGAGCAGAGGTCCATCAGTGGCTATTAGCCACAAGGGATAGATAGGGGCTCTGGGGCAAGTGATGCTCTGTCTTCTTGGTGCTTGGGGGGGGGGTCAACAGTGGGAGGGCTTCTAACGTCCTGGCCCCACTGGTGGACCTCCTGATGGCACTGGTATTGCTGGCCACTGTGTGATACAGAGTGTTGGACTGGATGGGCCTTTGGCCTGATCCAATATTGGCATCTCTTACGTTCTTATCTTCTTATGTTACAACCACTTGCACTCCCTGCACAGGGGAAGGAAGAGAACAGGAGTGGCTTGGCACGGCTGCCAGCAACCAACTCCACCATCAGCTGCCTGCTGCCACTTGCTTCTTCCTCTCCGTTCCCCAAAGCAAGATGATACATGGCCCCACACTTGGTAAGATGTGCATGCGAATGTACACCACCTTCACAGGAAAAGGTTCCCCTTACTTATTTGTCCACTATTGGAAATGTATGTATCTATTTAGGAAATCTTTATGCGATCTCTCCTGGAACCTGCACAAGTCGGCTTACAGAAGAAAAACAAAACATTAGAAGAGGAATTTAAAAATCCAGGACTAAAGAACCAGCACCATAAAAGCAGGCTGCTGACAACTTAAAATAAGTTTCCAAACTGAAATAGTGCTAACGTCCACCAACATCCAGAGTCCAGCTTTGACAAGAAACCCATCTTTGGCATTTAGGAAGAACGAGGCACCTCGGTATACCCTAGCAGGTGTGTTGTACGTATTAGATTCCATGTCAAAAATGAAGTCAAATGAGGAGGAAGTTCTTGTATTTTATTGTAACTAAATACGGAAAACAGTTAGGCCAAAAGACCCATCAAAACTGATTGCTTTCTTCTCAGCATATTCAGGAAAAATGCCTCAATTAATAGGAAAACAATTAGACCAAATAGTTAACCATAAATTGACAACTTTCTTCTTTTTATTCTTCATCTTCTTCCTGAGCATATTCTGAACATATTCAGGAAATACATGATATTCTATACATGGACTGACATCATCAAGAAAACAATATGCAAACAGCATAATTGGTTACAAAAGACAGTGGTAATTTGAGTAATAATCCTCTGATTGGCCAGATATAAAGAAACATATCTATGTCAAACTAAGTGTTTACTTAACCTAACCTAAATGAAAATGGGCAAGGAATCTTCACACGAGACTAAAATCTTATCGGACCCAGACATTGAAAGGTTTGCCCTAAGAACTACAGAATCATGAACTTTGTACCTATTATGTTGTCTGCTAACAATATCAGACCTACAAGAGGAAAGCCTTCTATATAACAGGCCTTTCTAACATTCTAATAAAATATGACTTAAAGAATAAATCTATAAAAACCAGAGAAATATGAATATGAACAATCAAGAAGAAAAAACCCATATATAAAAATCTTTATATCCCCATTCATACTACAGGTGCTCACCGACTTCCACCACCACTGCATTCCAGGATCAAACTGGTTTTCTGAACCAATGTCCTTCGGCACCACCACAGAACCCCCCAGCTTGGTTTGCCCACAGAACAGTGGCCACGGAACACATTGTGTCAAACAGAAATCTACAGGACTGTCCTTCCAGCACAGCCACAGCTGTTATGTATTAGGTCAGGAACACTCCAGGACTATCTACCAGAGGCTGGCTGAGCTTGGAGCTCTAGAACAATAGCCCACCAGGTCTCTGGAGGTGGCCAATGAGAAACTTATATTATGTAAATAGCCTGTCGTTGGAAGTGGGGTGTGTTTGGGTGTGGTTTTTGCATGCTATTTAAACAGGGCTGTTGCCCTGGTGAGTCAGTCTTGTTCCTGAAATCACCTAACCAAGTAGAGCTGTTCACTGCAATGTGTCTTGAACCCAGTATTTAACAGTAGCAGAGTGGGGAAAGTGAGCAAGTCAACATGTCTTTGCTTTGATCCAGTTCACTCAGCCACTGACAGCAGGAACGGCTTGGAATCCACAGGAGAGAGGGCTGCCTGCGACTGGGCACTTAATACGAGGCGAACACCGCCATTTTTGCAATAACATGCCCAAAAAAGGTTTAAGGAAGCACATAGATACAGTCGCATATGAATGGTGTATCATGAGCCAGAATATCACCAGAAGCCCTGTACATGTATGAATTGGCCCCTTACAGAGCAAACATCACTGCCAGACCAAACATAAGCAACCATTCACCGGAGACTGTATTAAATGCTGTTAATATCCAGCTGAGGAATTCTTCTAAAGCAAACGGACATTAAAAAAACCCCACACATCTACCCAGTTGTGAGATCAGTTTAATGATGAACCAATCTAAGCTTAAAAGCTGTGCAGCACATAGCCAGTGATTTCAAGATCTCACCCCACAAAAAAACAGTAAAGATTTTGACAAGTCACCTGAAATCATACCCGTCCATGAAAGTGCACAAAATCTGTCTTCTCTGGGTACTCAGCTTTTGCAAAAATCCCTCCTTATAGGATTTTGTGGTCATCCTTATTAAAAACGAGGAAACGCAGCCTCAGTCCTAAATCCACCAAGTTGCAATACAGTTTTATTTATTTTATTTAAAACGTTTATTAGCCGCCTTTCTGCCTTGTGGGACTCAAGGTGGCTTACAACAGAGATAAAATACATAAAACCGTGTACAAAAATACGCAAAACCAAAATTTTAAATCACATTTTCTTAAAAAGATCAAATGCAGTCCTAAATAAAACTATCTTCAGCGGCCTCCTGAAGATCAAAGGTAAGGGGGCCAGGCACACCTCCCGAGGGAGGTTGTCCCACAATCGTGGGGCTGCCAATGAAAAGGCCCTCTCTTTTGTACTCATTGAACAGGCTTCTCTGATTGGGGGGATGGTCAGGAGGGCCCCTCCCTGTGATCTTAATGCCTGGGCAGGAACACCTGGGAGAAGGCAGTCCTTCAGATACCCTGGTCCCAAGACCAGTGTTCCCTCTAAGCTGAGTTAGTGTGAGCTAGCTCACAGTTTTTTAGCCTCCGTCTCACACATTTTTGTCTTAGCTCAGGAAGGATGGCTCCACAGCAAACTGAAGTAGGACATAACTCTAGGGGACAAAGGAGCAGACCCGGCGGCGTCAGCGTTACCTCTTTGAATGGCTCCTTCGCCTTCTCCATCATTTCCCTGGGCAGCCTGAATCTGAGTACTCGCTGCTTGGTCGGACCCGCTAAGACACACAGTCTCGGGTCACTCCCTGCCCGACATCGGGCTCTGCCGCTCATTATTTGTTAACAAAATGGCCGCCGCCATATTTGGTGACTCCTGGAGCGTGTGGGAGCTTTTGGCGCGCTTAGCCACGCTAAGCCGCGCTGTGCGATTCCGCTCGCCGCGCATTCCCATCCGGGGCTCTTTTGCGCTCTGCGCGATCTTTTCGGCTCTCCTCCCTATCCATTTCCCCCGAGGAGAGAAAACCGTTGGTATCTCCCCTGCATGCCATTGTCGCTTTGGGAGAGGAGTCTTACAGAAGGGGGGGGGAGGAAAGGAGGCTTTTTTTTTTAAGGTACAAAGAACAAAGGAGAAAGAAGTTGGAAAAGAAACGGGGAAAAAATGAGGTAGGAGTTTAGAATAGTGAAAGTGTAGGCAAAGCCAAATTTTCGCTGCTCTCCCTACTGAGGCAGGAAGAAAACTGAGTTGAGGGTGACTCCGACCACAGGAAACAGTTTGAATTTCCTGCCTCCCTAAGAGATGGTTGGGAATCACCCACAAGATGGCCTCCACCTCAGAGGGAGAATTTTTGCTCACAAGACTCCACAGCTTAGAGGGCGCACGGGCCAAGACATGTAGGGCTTTAATCTTCTGCATCCCAAGGAGTTGTTCTGCGAACCCACACGCTTCAGCGTTGTCACCAGTCCTACCAGCTTAAATTGCCTGAACAACGGTAAGGAAGGCAAAAAAAAAATTTTTTTTTAAACTTTTGACTTACATGTTAAGCAGACCAAGAACATCCTCATCATCAGATCGCAGAACAGTTTCAGCTTCTCCTGTACTCTGGAGGTGACAGCCGGAACGATGATTTCTGCCGGAACGAAGAACTGAATCGCGTAGGTCACAAAGATCCCAAAAGAATAGAGAATCTTGACCATCTGGTACACCCTGTGGGACACATTTCGACAGAACGCAGGTTGGTCAGGATACAGCACACACAGTCAGTCTGCAAGGCAAGGAAATTGCCTGAAAGAATATATTTGGCACACGTCAATCATTTCTCTTGGCTTCCAACTTCCATAAAAGCAGAATTTTCCTTGCTAAATTAGATCCAACAATGCTCCTAGCCTAATAACTACCCAGATGCCTCCAGATGCTCACTATCAAGGCAAAAACTCGCCATCTTTTAATCACAGGCACACTGCCTTTGAATATGAGCGGTTCCATTTTTTTTCTTTTTAAGGCTAGCACCCCTTGATATAAATTCCCTGGACTTCCTTATAACCTCCTCTGCTGAGCCAGCCAAGCAACTCCATCAGTCACACAGAGCAAGAATTTCTCCTATACCCATTTGCCAATCTCCTAGCATGATCAGAGTTCTCTGCCTGAACAGTTCACAACTTCATAAGCGTCTTACTCTATTCCACCCCCTTCCACTCCTGGCCAGTTCCTTTACCATTCATAGTGCCCATCTTGTATGGGTTCGGGAATTCCAGTCTGATCTGCACAGGACCATTGTCCCACGTTAATGCGGTACAGATAAAACATCTCAAAAGCTTGATACGGAAACCAACTCCATGTTCTCTTAATTACCATAACCATCGATGGGTGCCAGGGGAGTTTTGGAGAGTGCAGTCCAAAAACTTCTCATGTGAGATAAGCACAAGCTACACAAATTAAAATTAAGGGGCAGATGCAGTGTGGTTGGAACAACCACCTACAACAAAGCTAGAACTTCATTCAGAACGATGGCACACCGTTGACTCAATAGAGTCAGTCTCTCCTCAATGCCTCCAGTGTAGAATCAAAACAGGGAAAGGCGTGTTTTTTATGTGCCCCCCCCGCGCCTCCAGTGACCCCTGCTCTATGCCCAGAGGAAGGCAAAAAAACCCTCCAGGATCCATGGGCAAATCTGGCCTGGAGGAAAATTCCTTCCTGAACTCAAAGGTCCTTTCCACACTTGGATCTCATCCCTGGTTTTATCAGAGTTCAACTCATGACACAATACCTCGCATTTATCCCTGGTTATAACAGCATATGTTTATCCTGGGACCAGGGGTCATTTAGTAGAAAAAGAGGTGCGGGAGCTCATTAGCATAACTCATTAGCATAACTCATTTGCATATGCCACACCCCCTGACATCACTGGAAGTGTGTCAGAAGGCAACACCCACCGCTCAGGCTCCGCTGGACAGTTTTGGATCGCTAGCTACTGGGGAGGGGGGGGAACGTGCAGATCTATCCTCACAGTGGAGGGGAGAGCTTGTACCTGAATAAAACTTGGTCTTAAAGGTGCCACTGGACTGTATTGGGGCAGGGGGGGCTCTGCAACTTACCTGTCTGCTTCTTGCTCTGACTGAGGGCTGCTGGGAGCAGGGGGTGGGGCTTGTTGCATGCGCCTGCCCCCTGGGCTCTTTAGTGCCGGAGCTCTGCTCCGGCGCACTCCTGCAGGAAATGACCCCTGCCTGGGACAAGTGCAGGGTGAAACTGGGGTGATCTCAGTGTAATGTGGAAACAAAAAATACCCCAAGATAATTACAGGGGTGAACTCTAGCGTAGAATGTAAGTTCGAGGACAGGGTTGAACCAGGGTTTAAGGTATAGTGCAGAACAATGCTCCCTCTAAGATGTGGAGCCTTGTGAGCAAAAATTCTACGTTTGGAAGCTACTGGAATTAAAGTTGTGAGCAAGCAATCTGGCTACTGCATAAATTAGTTTGCTCTGGAGCCTTCCTTCCTAAGCTAAGACAAAAATGTGTGAGGCTAAAAACTGTGCTAGCTCACACTAATTCAGCTTAGAGGGAACACTGGTGCGGAAACACCCAAAGTGGCAACTGGCATTACCCTGGACATGTAAGAAAGGGCCACGAGAGCCAAACATTAGCTCGTCCCTCCCTACTTTCCCTAAGTTCACAGAATCAGCATTGCTGTCAGATGGCCATCTAGTCTCTGCTTAAAAACCTCCAAAGAAAGAGAGCCCACCACCTCCCGAGGAAGCCTGTTCGACTGAGGAACCGTTCTAACTGTCAGGAGGTTCTTCCTAGTGTTTAGCCGGGAACCCTTTAGATTTAATTTCAAGTTATGGAGCGTTTTATATGGCTTGGATTGTTCCAAACGTACATAGAGTGCATATAGTCAATGCCCAAAATGTGAAACGTTCTCGGCAACAATTTACCCAAATGAGCAAATTTGGCAGTATTCTCTGTGCAGATACGGTGGCCAGAACTGCAAGTCAGAACGGGCAATACAGATGCTAGATGAGGCTCCTTGTTGAATAATTTGCATCAGGCCCAACAACTCTCTGCCAAATAACATCCGTGCCCTGCAGGACCTTATGCAGCTCCACAGGGCATGTAAGGCAGAGATGTTCCGCCAGGCTTTTTGGCTGAGGACAGCAATGAGCACCATCTTATCTGGCACTCTTCCTCACCTTGCTTTCTCCCACTTTGCGGGACAGGAACACATATTCTATCTACTTTGGCGCCATTTGATGTTGGGAAAGATTGAAGGTCAAAGAAGAAGGGGACGGCAAAGGATGAGACATAGGCAGTGTTATTGATGCAACGAACATGTCCTCCGTCGCGCTCTGGAGTTTGCTCAATTTCATGTTCGTTGCATCTATGACACTGTCTAGCCATCTCATCCTTTACCATCCCCGTCTTCTTTGACCTTCAATCTTTCCAAGCATCAGGGTCTTCTCCAGTGAGTGCTCCCTTCTCATTTGGTGGCCAAAGTATTTGAGCTTCAGCTTCAGTATCTGGCCTTCCAGGGCACAGTCAGGGTGGATTTCTTTTAGGATTGACTGATTTGATATCTCCTTGCAGTCCTAGGGACTCTCAAGAGTCTTCTCCAGCACCATCATTCGAAAGCATCTGTTCTTTGGCGCTCAGCCTTCCTTACGGTCCAACTCTCGCAGCCATACATTTCTACTAGGAATACCATCGCTTTGACCATACAGACTTTTGTTGGCAGGGTGATGTCTCTACTTTTTATTATGCTGTCTAGGCCTAGACAGCCAAGCTCTAGAGAGGAGTTATCAACCAATAAGGACATTCCTTAGGACATTCCTTGCTGTCTCCGCTCCGGCGCAAAGTCCCTTCTAATCAAGCGATAAGAATGGTTCGAAGCACTTCAGTCAGGGCCTCTTGAGTTGTGGCCCCTCTAAACCGACTATCTTCTGAGACGCGACCTTGTAGATCATATACAGAGTAACCATTTGACTTAAATTTGTTTTTTAAAGTTAGCGATATGCTTCTCACTGTATTGCTTGTAGACACAAGAGGATAAACGGCAACAAGGGCAGGGTGCCACACCACATTCTGGTTGCTTGGCCTGTGGCAGGGATTAGTCAGGAAGGGTCGAGGACAGGGAATTAAATCAAAATGGAGGTCCTCACATTGCTACTAAACTTTGAGAACAACGATGGTAGAAAATCTACTGGTTTTCATTATCTCACCTCCACCATAAATAAAGCTGGAGGTTGCTAAAGATCCAGTGAAGAATCCTAGAATAGTTCCCCACTCCATGGCGACAACCATGCTCTGCACTGACAGTACTATGTGTAAGGCGATGACCCTCAGTTGCAATTAAGAAGAAGAGTTGGTTTTATACCCTGCCCTTCACTACCTGAAGGAGTCTTGGAGCGGCTTACACTCCCCTTTCCCTTCTCCTCCCCACAACAGACACCCCGTGAACAGTGTTCCCTCTAAGTTGAGTTAGTGTGAGCTGGCTCACAGTTTTTTAGCCTCCGGCTCACACATTTGTCTTAGCTCAGGACTGATGGCTCCAGAACAAACTAATTTATGCAGTAGCCAAATCGCTCACTCACAGCTTTAATGCCAGTCGCTCACAGAGTAGAATTTTTGCTCACAAGACTCCACAGTTCAGAGGGAGCATTGCCTGTGAGGTAGGTGGGCTGAGAGAGCTCTTGAGAGAACTGTGACTGACCCAAGGTCACCCAGCTGGCTTCATGTAGGGGAGTGGGGAATCAAACCCGGTTCTCCAGATTAGAGTCTGCTGCTCTTAACCACTACACCAAGCTGGCCTCACAGTTTTAAACAACACAATCAAAACCTACAAGAGCCACATAGTGAAGGAAGTTGTTGTTGTTGTTATTGACAGAATAATAGTAATTATTATATATAAAGTAATCGTAACTGACGTTTTCTTGATGTTCATAAGCAACTAGCGCCGTATCTCGTATTGCAGGTTTTTAAGAAAGGCACACAATAAGATTAGTTCCTAACCAGTTACCTTTCTCAAAAAGAGATTAAGTCACAAAGATCACCAAAAATGAATTTCTGTACGCTGAAAATAGGTTTCATAAGCAAGGCCTAGGCCAGCTGTTCCTGCTTTTCCCTCCAAGCTCATCTCCAGCTGTGAATAATTGCATTGCAGTTTATTCCAGGATTAATGTTGCTTCAGTTTTGCTAGTGTTGCCGTTCTCCACCAAGAATGATGCATTTGAGATAATGTTAAAAGAAACAGAGAATGTTATATTTATTAGACCCCCCATCATCTCTTGAAGACTGCAGTATTACACAGTATGGCAGATGTATCCTTCAAAGTCCATTTATAGAACACATCAGGGCTGCGTTCCTGCTGTGAATTTGCAAAAGTGCAGGAAAAGGCAGAATGGGAGATCTGGCACGGTTCAGCTCCCAGGGTCCAACTTTTCTTTGAAAACATTCAGTTTCTAGTCCTCATTTCTGCCAGTGCAGGCTCCAATGCACATCACTGATGCTAGCTGAATTCTCATAAGAACATAAGAGAATCCAATATTGGATCAGGTCAATGGCCCATCCAGTCCAACAGTCTGTCACACAGTGGCCAAAAATACCAGGTGCCATCAGGAGGTCCACCAGTGGGGACTCAGAAGGGAGTGGGGTGTATGGTTGAAGGTTTCTAGGGATTGGAACTCAGGGCCCTGGTGCATAGCTCCTTGCCTACCCCCACAGCTAGCAGAATAGGTTATGCAAAATGCTAAACTCAGTAGAGTCTAAACACATGCATTATGTGCATAATTTGCTCAGATTGCAAATTCCGGTTGTAGAATTTCGATCATATATTTTAAACACACAGGTACACAACCTTCCATTGTTATTTAAATCAAGAGACAAGGGCTAAAATATTATATGTACCTAGATTGCTTTAGTTTTTGCAATTGGGGGTACTGTTTCACTGTTTTTAATAAATTCAGTCTGTCCAGAAATGCTGGGAATTTTAGCATGTACTGAGCAATAAGGCTGGGGGTGGGGGTGGGGGTGGGGTGCAAGCAAAGCACCTGACACCCTCTTTTCACAGCAACCTTCCCAGACCAGGGACAGGTCAGCTCAGATCTATCGCTACGGGCTCCATCACAATCCAGTTCATAAGCAAAGAATGGTTTGGAAGCAGCTCCTAAAGAATCACGCAAGGTCAAGATCTCAGAAAGGAAAGTTGTTCTAAAGTTGCAGAAAATATTTGGAACGGGGGGGAGGGGGGGTTGAAAGCCCCATTAAAAGCCGTAACCTGAAAAAAGAAATTGGCTCGTCAACTTCAAAGCTCAATATACCACGTTCATTAAATTCAAAGCACGCTTTCACTACCAATAAGTAAGCAAGTCACCCGCGGTGAAAGACGTTCAAGAATCTCTCGTATTAAGAAACTATTTTAAGAAATACTAAATGCTGCTGTTAGCTTACTGCTTCCCAACAAAATCTCCCTGCGCTATCTTTTTTAAAAAGTCATTTGTGATTTTAAGCCAGTAGCAGCCGTCTTAATCTCATTCTATCCTGATCACGTTATATTAACGATTGGAACAATTGCCACAGCTAGAAGATATTGGGGGGGGGGGGGGAAGAAGTATTACAGATAACGATGTAGCACCAAACACACACTGATCATGTTTTTAGGAGAGATGGAAACCCTAAGAGCAAGTTTGGTGTACTGGTTAGGAGTGCGAACTCTAATCTGGGAGAACTGGGTTTGAGTCCTCACTCCTCCACATGCAGCCAGCTGGGTGACCTTGGGTCAGCCACAAGGTCTCTCAGAACTGTTCTCTCAAGACCAGTTGTCCCAGAGCTCTCTCAGCTCCACCTACCTCACAGGGTGTCTGTTGTGGGGAAAGGAAGGGAAAAGACACTGTAAACTGCTCTGAGACTCCTTTGGGTAGTGAAGGGTGGGGTATAAATCCAATCTCTCTCTTTCTCTCTCTCCCCCTCCTAATTATGTGTGGCAAAATACACACAGAACACAGAGCTGGAAGAGATAACAAGGGTCATTCAGTCCAACTCCCTGCACATTGCAGGAAATTCACAACTACCTCCCCCCAATTCCCTCAGTGACCCCCGCTCTACACCCAAAGGAAGATGAAAAACCTCCAGGGTCTCTGGGCCAATCTGTCCTGGAGGAAAATTCCTTCCTGACCCCAAAGTGGCAATCAGCCTTATGCTGGGCATATAAGAAAGGGCCACAAGAGCTGAGCACTGGCTCATCCCTTCCTGCCCTCCCTCTCATAATCTGTCTAAATTTATACAGAGTCACAGAAATCAGCATTGCTGTCAGATGGCCATCTAGCCTCTGTTTGAAAACCTCCAAAGAAGGAGAGCCCACCACCTCCGGAGGAAGCCTGTTCCACAGAGGAACTGCTCCGACAGGAAGTTCTCCCTAATGTTTAGCCGAAAACTTTGAACCGAATCTTGAATGTCCGCAACAGTAAGCACAAACTAATGGTAAACTTATCGGAAATGCTGAACTCATTCAGGAGGGTGCTTTTATAAAGGAAACAGGGTTGCAGTTTATTGTACAAATTATCTTGCTTTTACTGCATTTTCTAATTTTTGTAATCCAGTTTCTGCATCGTTTGTGACAGGTCTTTATACTTTTTATTGCACTGTTTTTCTAATTTGGTAATCCGCCTTGAGCCCCGGTAAGAAAGACAGAGTAGGAAATGCATTTAAGTTTCAGCAAGTATTGCTATGCTACTTTTGGGCAGCTTTAGTAGGGTTACTTCCAGAGGTCAATTCGGGGGGGATCGCGGGGGATCGCAGTTCCCCCAGGTGAGGTGCGGGGGGCGGGGCACACGACGAAGCCCCACCCCTTGCTTCCGGCTGCCCCGCTTCCGGCCCTCATTCAGCCAGGAGGAGGCAGGAGAAGAGGGAGGGTAAATTGCTTCCTCCCCACCTCTCCCCACCCCTGCCTGCCTGGGGCCAGGGAGGGCCTTGGTGGGGCTTCCTCGCACTCCCGCTGGCCTTGCAGGTCCACCGCTGGGCCCCTGATGTCAGGGGGTGTGGCATATGCTAATGAGTTATGCTAATGAGTTCCCCTAGCTCTTTTTCTACGAAACTACCCCTGGTTACTTCTATACAAGTAGCAGAGGAACGACAACTTTGGCTTTATCCCAAATTTTTACTGGGTAACCAAGAAGGTAGGGTTGCCAGCTCCTGGCTGGGAAATACCTGGAGTTTCGGGGAGCGGAGCCTGTGGAGGATGGGGTTTGGGCAGGTGAAGGACTTCAGTTATAATGCCATAGAGTCCACCTTCCAAAGCAGCCATTTTCTCCAGGGGAACTGATCTCTGTTACCTGAAGAGCAGTTGTAATCCCAGGAAATCTCCTGCTACCACCTGGAGCTACCACAGAAGGCTACCCCAGGACAAAGGATTGGGTTAGCATTTGACTAGGCCATGATTGCATTTGCAAACACTGCTTTGTCACTGTGATGGTTTTATGGGCTGATTGATCCTTAAAAAAAATTATGTTAGTAGCAAAGGTCCAAAAGAAAATTTAAATCAGACCTTTTCTTTGCCTTTACCTTTCCATCATCTTATACAGTCTACATTAGCCATTCCCAAAAAGGGCATACTAATGCGCTGGCAGGAAAATTGCTCCTAAGTGTATCCTTAAAAGCTCCCATGAACCCAAACCACTCACCCATGGAGAAGTCTGCCTGCTATATCAGCGGAAGACTTCCTGCTCTGCCCTGGTCTCGGCTGTTAGAGATGAACAGCCTGACTGTGGATGGATGCAATGGATGTGGTCAGTCACTTTTGAGATGCAGCGGACTCACCCAGCAGCAGCAGCAGCAGCTGCCTGTTGTGTCTCTGCATGCATCACTGCTTTAAGACTGTCTGTTAGGGGAGCTTTTCTTGTTCCAGTTCTTTTCTTGTTCAGGGTCTAAAATCCCAAAAGAACGTTCGCCAATTCCATTCACAGACATAATACATATTTACCACCCCCTTTCCTTCAGAGTACACCCTGCATGCCTTCTAAGGATAAAAGGGAAATAAGCCCTTTATACATTTTTCATGGGAAATAAGGATGGAACAGACCCTTGACTGAGAGAAGGTTGCTTAGCGATCACCAGGTCAAAGAACAGATTTTGGGTAAGGGTGGGAGGAAGGACAGAAACAGCCCAACATATTCCAGATCAACCTTAGGATCACTAATTAAAATCATTGCGAGACTCTTAAATCTTTGCTTAACTCCTAATGGTGTGAATGCCATTTTCCAATCAGGAAGCACACCCAGAGCAGAGCCTCATGGAGAAACAACAGACAGAGGTCCAATCTGAATTGGTCTTTCCCACCATTATGCAAATGATCTCACATTGTCTCACAAACCTCTGTTTACATTTGATGCCGCATCCACTCTCCTACTGTTTCATCTCAGCATCGGGTATCTCCATCATTTTACTGCCATTTAGTGGTAACTCCGAGGTCACTACACCGCCTTATCTGAATGTGGTTTTAAGGTGGTACAACTGCTCCTCCCCACCATCAAGCCGCTGTGAGCAAAAAGCAGACCACTGGAGCTGAATTATCTCCCCCCCCCCCATCTTTTCTATGGAGATACGCTAATGGTCATAAAGGAAACAAGTTAGCTGAAGATCCAGTTGTCTGCGTTGAAAAGCAGGCAGGGAACATTTTTCTGCGATCATATGGGGGGGGGGAGTTGGAAGCATGCCCACCCCTGAACCATTTGTTATTTCCTGGGGAAGTCTCCAGAACGCCCTGCCAGGCATCTGCTGGGTGTTTTGTGTTTTTTACCCAGCTCGTTCCATCTTTCCTGCCCCCCCTCTGCCTCCCCCTCTGCCAGGTCACCCCCTTTTACTTTCTATGTGTGGGGGGGTCACTAGGGTTGCCAAGTCGAAATATCTCCTTACCGGGGGATTCCCAAGACGACGTCAGGCACGCTGGGGGCGTGGCCATGACCATCTGAGGGAAAACCATAGAGTTTTCCCTCAGATGACCGTGGCCCCGCCCCCAGCGTGCCCGGCGTGGTCGCGTCACTTCCGGGTGACGCACACGTTGGGGTGGGGTTCCCCCCGGGGCCCAATCCGCTGGCGGCGGGGAACGGGCCTCTGAGGCAGGGGTTTCCCCGCCCCCCGGGGGGACTTGGGAAGCCTAGGGGTCACAGGTGCTGTTTCCTCCCTGCACTGCAGCGCCCTGCCGGCACCCCTGGTGGCCGCTCCTCCCCCCCCTCTCTCTCACTCTCCCTAAACAACTTGTGTCCTGATGCAGACAGAAGAGAGCTTTACTCTGAGCCAAATGGGAAGCCGGTGCCACAGCAGCACGGAACAGCTTTACATAGCAAATGCAGATTGGGCCAGAGAGGGGGTCAGTTGTACTAAGAGTGGGGAAATTTTGCATGCTAAAGGTAAACTGTGGATACAAAAAGTGAAGCATGCCTCCAATTTCTGTTCAGAGAGAGGCCATGTCAGCTCTCTAAAGGTGAGGAAATGCCTGCCTGCTGTGCCGAGCTTTGAAAAACTTGAATTTGTCCTCTTTCCTTAACCCCGCCCCCCAAACTATCGCTGCTCAACAAACTTTGAACTATATTTCACAGAATGTTCTAGAGGACCTCAAAAGACTGCCAAATTATTTTGACTGGGCATCTACTCACAGTTTATTTTGTGGCAGGTTCAGCGTTATGCTGCCTTTGATATCATCCCCGAAGCGCATGTAGCCCAGGGTGGATAGGGAGATGTACAAGATCATCACAATCCCCATGCCGATGTTCAGAGCCAGCGGGAAGCGACTGGCATCCTTCATTCTGTTCTGAAGGGGAAGCACCTGAAAGAGACAGACACACCTGAAAGAGACCCTGAAAATTGGTAAAAACCAACAGCTATCTGTACCCAAGGATTCTTTGTAAGGGGCTCCCACCTGGTGGAATCGGCCTGCCCGACAAGGTCAGAAATATAGTTCCATGCTCCTCTCACTCTGCAGAACACACACCACAGAGGTTGTTTCTGAGCAGATCCATGCTGAAAGCAACACCTTGAACCCATTTGATTTGAAGCAAAAATTGGGGGGTGGGGTTTTTTTGAAATCAATATTTTCCTTTCAGCTATTTAAAAGTTTAAAACTGCATTTTTAAGGGAGTTTAGCAACCTTTAAAGCTTCTGCAAGTTGTAGAGAAGGTGCTTTGGGCACAGTCTTGCAAATTTTATGCACAGAATGTTTGAAATCGATCCCCCGAACATGCCGTTGGGTCATTTAAGTGTTTTCTCTTGAACCACATTTACACTGTGTAAACCCTCCTGCCCTGCGTTTTAAGTGGGGGGGGTGTTTTTACAGACATACATTTAGTTTGGCTCTTAACTGGTTTTACGATCTGTTTTTATAATGTTCTGTTTTTAAATGTTAGCAGCCTCGGTGGTTCTGATTGGGCAGAAAGGCGAGATGTGTGTGTGTGTGTGTGTGTGTGTGTGTGTGTGTGTGTGTGTGTGTGTGAGAAGTGTTATCAAGTCCCAGCCGACTTACAGCGACCCCCGTAGGGTTTTCAAGGCAAGAGACGCCCAGAGGTGGTTTTGCCATTGCCTGCCCTGGACTCCCGCAGTGGTCTCCCACACAAGCACTAACCAGAGCCGACCCTGCTTAGCTTCTGAGGGTCTGACGAGATCAGGCCAGCCTGGACCATCCAGTTTAGGGCAAGGTGGGGTACACATCTGGTACACAAAATGCATAAATAATAACTGGATCTTAACAAGCAGGAGGAAATGCAACATGGCATGAGGGGTTCAAAAAATTTACTTTGGTCATCTATACCTCTCCCATCTCTCCAGACATCTGAACTCATTTTAAAGTTTAAAATCTTAATATCCCATCCATTGATCAACTGATCACAAGGACAAGCTTTCTAAAGCTACAATTCTTAGAGATTAGGGGGGAAAATACATGAAACCTGTCTTTACAGAGCCCATGGCTCCCTGCTCATCTCTTGGTGGTGAAGAGACACACGGGCAGCATGAGATTTTACAGCCCGGCTCTCTGGTGTTCCTGCTGCTGTCCTTAGGGGGCCATAACGAGACCTGAGGGAAATCACTCCTCAGAGAGAGGGGCATTCAAGCATCAGCGTGTCTTTACAGTTGAGGCTTTTCCCCACCCAGATCAGATGGAATATAACTCCTATTACCTCTTTTGGTATGCAAGAGAGATGCTGGGTGAGGTGGTCTTTCCTCAGCCCTTCACAGAGGACACCCCTCTCTGGAAGGCCTAAAATCCAGAATCCACACCAAAGATGGTGAGAACTCTGGGAAGAAAGCCTAAGAATTCATTTTACTGAGGGGAAAGAGCGAGAGTGCACAGATGTTGGACCTAAGAAGAGCCATGCTGGCTCAGACCAAGGGCCCATAAAGTCCAGCATTCTGTGGGGGAAAGGTCAATCCTTTGCACACCATAATGCTTTGTCTCCCCTTCCCTCACAAAAATGCTCCACTTGCGTCCCCTTCAGAAAGACCCAACCACATCCCACAAACAGCCAGTGTGTCATAGCGGTTAAAAGCAGTGTTCCCTCTAAGCTGAGTTAGTGTGAGCTAGCTCACAGTTTTTTAGCCTCTGGCTCACACATTTTCGTCTTAGCTCAGGAAGGATGGCTCCAGAGCAAACTAATTTATGCAGTAGCCAAATTGTTCGCTCACAACTCTAATGCCAGTAGCTCACAAAGTAGACTTTTTGCTCACAAGACTCCACATCTTAGAGGGAGCATTGGTTAAGAGTGTCAGACTAGTATCTGGGAGGCCTAGGTTCGAACCCTCACTCATGCCAGGGAAGCTCGCTGGGTGACCTTGGGCCAGTCACACTCTCTCAGCCTAACCTACCTCACAGGGTTGTTCTGAGGATAAAATGGAGGAGAGGAGGAAGGGTGGGATAAACACTCACCTATTGGGGAGAAAGGGGGGGTATAAATAAATAAATCCTAATGGCACTGAGACTAACTTGAGATTAGTTTCCATGGGAAGGTTCGAACACATTTTAAGACAACACCAGAGAGAGCTGAAGAAAGGGAAGAAACAGAAGGTATAATGATTAAGCTGACCAAAAGAAAAGAAAACACCCTGAGAAGTAGAAGTTAATAAAAAAAGAGTTTGCATTACTTTCTCAGTATCCAAGAGAGACCTTTTGAAAATGATAATCTGGGTATTTTAAAAAAAAGATTTGTAAAGGCGGGGGGGGGGGGCTAAGTTCAGAAGTTAACTTGCAGATGTCTAATGACAGATCCAAAGCCTGCTGGCTGTAAACAAAACACCGGTTTTTACCAAAAAGCTGTGTGATTATCTGTAATTCTAGAAGTCAGGATTTGAGATCTTTTTTAAAAAAAGAAGAAGAAGGCGAAATAGGCTAAGGAGTTGAGGAACTTTTATTTCCCCACCGTTTCATGTCTGAAAAACAATGTAAGATTTCCATTTTGCTTAGGTAAACAAATCTACAGCACTTTACGGGAACAGGTGGAAGGGGGAAAAACTACTGACAGAAATCGCTTTGCATAAGTAGGATACAAAGGAACAACTCGTTTTGCTTGAACAGCACAGATCAATTATTTTTTCACATTTTAGCACTTAAAAAGCATACTTTAATCACCAGCTCCGAAAAGAAGAGTGAAGCAGCCCCATGGCCATCCATGTGGGACACATTTTCTGCTCCCGTATTTCTTCAACATCAAATGTGTAGCTTCTAAAAATGCACTCATTAAATTACTAATTGGGTTTTAGAATGGGTCTCCAATTAATAGATCCCAATGGGGGGCGTCAGAAAAAAATTTTTCCAGGAAGCTCAGCAATCTGCATCACTGTCCGTGTCTTTATATCCCACAGAGATGGACCCAGGACTTTACGAGATGGGCAGTGCAATCCTATGCAGGGTGGATTTACATAAGAACACAAGAGAAGCCAGTGTTGGATCAGGCCAATGGCCCATCCAGTCCAACACTCTGGCTGCAATCACACGCACAATTGGACCCGACATAGGCGCGAATGCCGGGTGGATTTAAAGGGCGCGATCAGACAACAACATCTGAGAAGCGTCCCGCAATCATCGGCAACCCGTTCTGTTCCACCGCAGAAGTGGAGTTAAAAGACACCGGGGAAAACCCAGTAGTAAACAGGTTGCAATGGGCCATGGACGGACTTTCCTGTGTCTGATTGCTCCAGAGCACTTTCATGGTGTCCGGATGGTCTGATCAGGCCACCCCAACTCCGTGCCGTTGGTTCCCCCCCCCCTTTGCAGTATGCGCATCACTGCAAACTCCATAGGGAGCCCTCAGTGCGGAGGTGCAATTCATTGACCCCTCGTTTAAGTGCATGGGGGGGAAACGGCACACACAAAAAATACTCACCCACAGTTGTGTCTGATCACACACTGACGGACTGCACCTGCAGCTTCAAAGGGAGGTGTGATCGTGCAACTACGGGTCAAATTCCTCCGGAAGAAATAACCTTGTTTCCCCCACCCCCTTTTTTCTGGCATGTGTGACCGCAACCTCTGTCACACAGTGGCCAAAAGTACCAGGTGCCATCAGGAGGTCCACCAGTGGGGCCAGGACACTAGAAGCCCTCCCACTGTTACGAGCTTAGACTGGAACAACTTTCCATAGGATTGCAGGTATTTGAAGAAGTGAGCAGTGACTCACGAAAACACATACCCTGCCACAAATTTTGTTAGTCTTTAAGGGGCTACTGGACTCTTGCTCTTTTCTGCTGCATAGGATTGCAGCGTAACTGTAACAGCAGGTATCCAACCACACATTTCTAAAGACTTAATGGCACCTAAGTCTTTAGAACAGGGGGCAGATTTCCCCTTCCTATTGCTGGCCTGTATTTGGTACCTGACAATGTTCCCACGGGTTTGCTGGCCCCAGGAATGAAATTTCAGCGTGGGAGGCTCAACAGACTGCAGGAAGGACAGTGCGCAAAAGTCCAAAAATAGTTGGAGGGGCCACATTGTTCAAATGGAACGCACGCACACACACACACAGTTTCTAGAATCTGCCCCAAATTTCAGGGGATATGTTCATGGGATCAAACACACAAATTTAGTCAGATAGAAAAAGCACTCTTATTAAATGCAACTCAGGGATGTGGAATGCCAGTTCTAACACCAAGAGTAAACTCTAGCATTTTACCAGGACACGTTACCTGAACACAGAACAATCATTCAGATGTATAACTCTCCATCACTACCTGCCGTGGTACTGTTCATGGCGTTCACTGCTTGATTCTCTCTTTTGTATGAGATTGAGCTCTAACTTCTGTGTCTCAGCAAGGCAATTGTCCCAATACAGTGATTTTTCCCGGGGAGAGAGGCAGATCAGAAGCTGACTCCTAGCTGATCCCCTGATCCATCCCTCCCCACCCCCCAGTGGTCCCAGCAAGGCTGACGAGGCAGAAAGGTTCCCCAGGAAGGAGATCACAAGCCAACTCCCAGGCTAATCCGCCCCCGCTCCCCCCCCCGCCCCCCATGCACAGACACCCCAGCTGGGATTTGGCTTCTGAACAAACCTATTTAGC